GGGGGGTCCCTTTATATCAAACACCCAGAGCCCATACGTACTAGATACAGAGGCAGAGGTTACTCACAATATGTAGGTGATGACGCCAATACTCCACATGTCCGTAGCGAGGGACAGTCGCTCGTAGCTCACGACTTCGGGAGCTGAAATGGAATTCATGTAAAATGTAACCTACTTAAAGAATTTGATGTTAATGATGGCTCTATACTGGCATAATCTACACTAGTCTTATTTTGAATTATTTACTTTGTTTTTCTCAGACATTTAAACCTTAAACACACACACACACACACACACACACACACACACACACACACACACACACACACACGCGCGCGCGCGCACGCGCACGCACACACACATCCAGCCTTTAAAAAAAAAAAAATTTTTCTACCGTTATGGAAGGATATCGCAGCGACCAAGCTGCTACATTCAGGACAGGAGCATATTTTTTCTCTTGTTAGGGGGGGGGGGGGAGCATTTCAAATGTTTACATTTCTGTCATGTTTAAAAGAAACGTAAAAATATGCGTATATAGTTAGCAACACATTCGACTTGTATGCAGTGATCTAAGCATTATACTAGTTTAAAGAATAACAGTATTCCGTTCACAGTACGCCAAACGTTCATTCATGAATATTGAGAAAATGGCATTTCTGCTATTTCAAAAAAACATAAACAATATACGTTGTAAGCAACACCTTAGTATGCAGTGATCTAAACAATATACTAGTAATAAGAATACCATTCCGCTCATAGTTAAAATGAAGGAAAAAATAAAGGAGTCAGGACGCAAACGTTCACTCGCCAACACGGAGAAACAGGCATTTCATACCTATAAACTCGGCGGTGCCCATGAGGGCCCTGATGTCTTCCTTCTCGGAGATACGCTGGGCGAGGCCGAAGTCGATGAGCTTGATGCTCTGGGAGTTCCTGTCCAGAAGCATGATGTTCTCGGGCTGAGGAGGAACAGAACCATGGCGGTAAGCTCGTGAAACAAACCATGACAAACTGTGCACATGAACAAACAAACCAGGTCACTTTCACCCCCCACCCCCCCTCCTCCCCATTAAGCCCCCCAAAAATAGTTTCAGACAGGGGAAGAGGCACTATTGGGAGCAGTAAACAGTCTACTTGAGTAGGTCACCCGTTCACCAATTCATGGTTAAGTGAAGTTTTTCTTTTTAAATGAGGGCGTGTGGGTGAGTGGGGGCGGGAGAGAAAGAGAAAGAGAAAGAGAGAGAGAGAGAGAGAGAGAGAGAGAGAGAGAGAGAGAG